AATAGTAAAGTAGATAAAGAAAAGGATGAGAAGAGTGAATAGATTATAAAGAAAAAAGAGGGGGATAGAGAGTGATTTGAGGAAATAAGTGAAGTGGAAAGGTAATGAATGAGATGAAAAAGCGGAAAAAAAAGGAAGGAAAAACAGAAAAGGAAGGAGGAGGAGCAAGAGGAAGAACCCCCCCCCCCCTCCCTTCCCGCCTTCACCGCCGCCTCTGCTGCCACCAGGCGATGGGCGACTACGTCTTCACTGACGCGACCTCGGGCGACAAGGTGCGCGTCGAGTACACCTTCGGCTACAAGCGGTGCGGCGACGGCGACGTGCGCATCTACCTCCACCACTCGTCGGTGCCGTACGCGGCGTAAGCGCCGCCCACATCGGCGCGCGCGAGGGGCTGCCTTGCCGGTAGGGCGTGGCCGGTCCCCGCCCCGGTCCCTTTCCATCTCCGCCTCCCATGTGCATGGTCGCGAGCAGATTCCCACCGCAGAGGACGATCAGTCGGCGCACAGTCTGTCCTGCCCAAGTCGCTTCTAGGGCGACGCGGGAGGACGGCGTTCCTGCCTTCTGGGGTATTCAGACTTCTAGCTCGAACTAGCGAAGTAGGCGGTCCCGAGAAAGAAAGAAAAAGAGTCAAAAGACAACGCAAAAGAGGGATGGGAGGACGACGGCACGCCGCCACCAGCACCACACAGCACACAGCTCACAGGGATTTTCAATTTTAAAGTAGGTGGCGCCCCCAAGCTGCAGAAATATCCCGCGGTTTCTTTGTTTCACAACCGTACCTGTGTTAGTGCCAGTGCGCGCCAGTCCCGTGCTAGAGTTGTGCCAGCCAGAGTTTTCTTTGTTTTCCCCACTGGGTTGTCCGAGGGTCGAGAGAGCCTCTGGTGGGTCGGTCTCCATGTCCCGCTACTGGCCCGAGCCGAGCGACGTCCGCAGGTCGAACGAGTCGGCTGCGGCCGCCGGCGCGCTCGCATCGCCGCCGAAGGGCTGGCCGGGCTGCTTCTCCTCCAATGCGGCGCTCAAGGCGTTCATGGGCAAAAAGGCGCTGAACGGGAAGCGCGTGCGCCTCACGGGCACACCGTCAGCGGAGGACGCGTCCAAGGCGAGCGCGGTGACGATCGAGCCCGATGATCCCTTCGGCAACGCAGAGCGCGTGCAGGCCGCGCTCGGGTGGGCGATTGTGAAGGGGTTTGTCGTCTACGAGTGCGCCGACCAGGCTGAGGGCACTTCGTTCGTGGCGCACTTGCGATGGTGGAACGCGCGGGAGTCCGGCGTGTGGGTCGACTTCACGCCGCGCCCGGCCGACGCGCAGCAGATGGTGCTCCTCGAGTCGGCGCACGCCGAGGCCAAGACCAAGAAGGAGGCGTCGGCCGCAACAGCAGAGGCGGCTGCAGCGCGGCTCGCACTCGGAGGCTTTCTCACGCAGGCGGTGCGACGCGGCTGGCGGGCAGACACCCCCGCCCCCGCACGGGCGAGACCCAACCCCTCGTCCGCTCTCCCGAAGGCGAACGGCAAGCCCGCGCCTCCGGATGCCAAGGCGCCCAAGCAGCAGTCTGCGCCGCCGCCGCCGCCGCCGAGGCTAGACTTCAAAGGGGCGGAGGGCGTGGAGGAGCTGGCAACGCCGCTGCGGCAGCGTTTCCCCCCCGCCCCCTCGCAGTAGCGTCACCCGCCTCCCCCCCCTCGAGAGCAGGTGCTCTTGCTGCGGCGCGGCACGGCGGAGGCGCAAGGGAAGGCTGCTGCGGCCATTGCAGCGGCGGCGGCGGCGGGCGCAGACGAGGCGAGGCAGGTGGTGGGTGCGGGCGGGGTGGCGCCGCTGCTGCTGCTGCTGCGTGCCAAGGGCGATGCGCAGGAGCACGCGGCGCGCGCCATCATGTCCATGGTGGGCTCAGCCCGCACGCCGCCGCTCTCTCCCCTCTCTTGCCCCACCGCGCTCTTGCCCACCGCGCTCTTGCCCCACCGCTCTCCTGCCCACCGCGAGCGCCCCCGCCCCCCTCTCCCCCGCAGGCCGACTCGCCGGAGCACCAAGCTTCGCTCAGCGCGGCGGGCGCGATCCCCGCGGCGGTCGGCCTCCTCCGCTCCGGCTCGCTCGGCGTCCAGGACGTCGCGGCCGGCATCCTCGGCAACCTCGCCATCCAGAGCGAGCCGAATGAAGTGGGGTATTAATTCATCACTACTTGATTACTTAATTAGGCAACCTCGCCATCCAGAGCGAGCCGAATTCAGTGGGGTATTAGTTCATCACTACTTGATTACGTAATTAGGCAACCTCGCCATCCAGAGCGAGCCGAACCAGACCGCCATCGTCGCTGCCGGCGCGCTGCCTGGCCTCGTGTCGCTCCTCGCGAAAGGTCGCCGCGGCCTCGGCCCTCCCCCCTCTCCGCCTCCTCGCCCGCGGCTTGTCCTGCCCTGCCCCGCCGCCCCTCGCCGCGCC